CTGCTACCACGTTGCCCTTACCCAGATGGTATAAGATGTCACAATCATAGTCTTTAAGGAGTTCCATCCACCTTCTCTGATACATGTTGAGATCCTTCTGAGTGAATATGTGTTTCAAACTCTTGTGATCGGTATAGATCTGAAAGGTCTCTCCGTACAAATAATAGCGCCAGGTTTTCAAGGCATGAATGATTGCGGCAAGCTCCAAATCATGGGTGGGATAGTTCTTCTCATGATTCTTTAACTGTCTGGACCCGTATGCTATAACATTTTCATACTGCATCAGGACACAACCCAGAGCCAGATAGGAGGCATCACTATAAACTGTATATCCTCCCGATCAACTTGGTAAAGCCAGCACGGGTGCAGTGTTCAACAGCTTCTTAAATTCTGAAAAACTTCTTTCGCAGTCTTCATTCTACTCAAATTTGGCATTCTTCTTTGTGAGTCGGGTTAGAGGAGCTGCTAGACTGGAGAATTCTTCAACGAACCTGCGGTAATAACCTGCCATTCCCAGGAAGCTATGGATTTCCTTAACTGATGTCAGCTTCTCCCAGCCAAGTACCGTTTCAACCTTTTCAGGATTCACTGATACCCCTTCCTTCGATATGATGTGTCCTAGGAAGGCGGTCTGCTCAAGCCAGAATCCACACTTACTCAACTTCGCATATAACCTCTTATTTCTAAGGACTTGCAAAACTTGGGCCAGATGGTGAGCATGTTCTTCTCTGCTTTTTGAGTAGACTAAGATATCATCGATGAACACGATGACAAATTGATCCAAGAACTCTCTGAAGACCTTGTTCATCAGATCCATAAAGATTTTTGGGGCATTGGTTAGCCTGAATGGCATGACCAGGAACTCATAGTGTCCGTACCTGGTTCGAAATCCCGTATTGGGGATGTCTTCTGTTCTTATCTTCACCTGATGGTAACCTGATCGTAGGTCTATTTTAGAGAAGACCTGTGCATCCTGCAGCTGATCAAAGAGGTCATCAATCCGGGGAAAGTGATACTTGTTTTTGATCGTGACCTTGTTCAATCCTCTGTAATCAATGCACAATCTCAACGTTCCATCTCCCTTCCTTGCAAAAGTGACTGTAGCACCCCAAGGGGACACACTGTGTCTAATAAAACCACTGTCTTGCAATTCAGTGATCTGTTTCCTTAGCTCTTCCATCTCAATGCGGCTCATGCAGTAAGGAGCAACCGAAATGGGCTGGGTACCTGGCTGTAGGTCTATAGTGAACTCGACTTCTCTGTCCACTGGCAGACAGGGCAGTTCGTCCAGAAACACATCTAGAAAGTCTCGGACTACCGGAATCTCTTGAATACAAATTTCCTTCTTGGACTTGCCTAGTCAGAGAAAACAACAAGATTAAGGCACTAGAAGTTAAGAAAACTTGTCATCAAGGAATACGTACTGAATAATTTTATTAATTTATAAATGGCTCCTCGTTAAGAGGATTAAATACAACTTTCTTGTTAAAGCAATCTATGGTGGCGTGATACGCCGCTAGCCAATCCATTCATAAGATTACATCAAAATCCTCTGTGTCTAACCCTATCAGGTCTGCCCTCAGTTTCCTATTTACTATCTCCACGGCACAAGCCCTATAGATAGCTTCCCCTAGTAGTGTTTCACCCCTGGCAGTAGACACAAATAACAATGATTCAAGTTTATCAAGTGATACATTAATTTTGGAAGCAAAAGCAATGGAAACAAAAAGTGCGATGCACCAGTGTCAAATAAAACATGAGCAATATGGTCACAGATAGTATACATACCCTGTACTAT